TGGGGCACCAATATGCCAGGACCCAGAGTGCAAATCTAGGCAAACTCTTCTAATAAATCTATTCATGTTTGACAGCAAGGTCTAACATTCAAAAAAGAGTGAGTATTTTAAGCTTTGTGGGCCAGACAGTCTGTGTTGCAGTGAGACTCAACCAAACGTAAACAAATGGGCATGGCTTTGTCTCAAAAATGTTCTTTGCAAAAGCAGGCAAGGGATAGAATTTGGCCCTTGGGCTGCAGTTTACAGAATCCCAGATTTAGAGGAAGAACAGCGGATACAAGTGAGGATCTTCTCTTTGTTGGTAAAGACAACCAGAAATCCCTCAGATCAGCCTCTCATCTTCCCTGCGTAGCTAAACTTATTCATTTAAGACAGTATGTAGCCAGGGAATAGATCCCAAGTCTAGAAGTCATGCATGTCCTTGGGAATTTGGACTGTGACTGTTACCGTTATTCTGTTCAATAAAGATGAGAGAGAGAAATGAACTTTCTTTTCCTCTGTTCTGGAGATAGGTGAAGAAAATGTCCACTATCTCAGCCTCTTATTATGCATAGGGGGTTCCCTGGGTGAGCTCTCAAGGTGAAACAGTTCTATCTATACTTATTTTTCTATTTTGTCTCTTATATTATTTTTTAAAAAATTAATTTTTTATTATTATTAATTTAAATGAAAATTTAAGAGAGACTTCGGATTTCACTTGATTCATTGATGCACTTTACTCCCCGCCCACACCTCCTCCCCAGTTCACTCTTCTCTTGAAAAGTAAAAAAAAAATTCTATAAAGTCCCTCCTTCCAAGTCCACTCCACTAGGCAGCCTTCGTTCTGGACTCCTGTCATGACAATAATAATGAATCACATATCCCTTCTAAATAGTTCTCTCCCTCATCTGTTTCAATGCAGTATACATAATTTATCCCATCTTTCTCAGTCTTCCCCCAACCCTGATGTCCCGTTTTACAAGTGGCACTATGCAGTATTTGGCCTTTTGTGACTGAGATATTTCACTCAGCATAATGTCCTCCAGGGTCACCCATTTTGAATAATATTTCATGAGTTTCTTGTTTTCCAATGCATCATAGTATTCCATTGTGTGAATATACCACAGCTTCTCTATCCATTTGTTTGTTCATGGGCACTTAGGTTGTTTCTAATTCTTTGCTATTGTGAACAAAGCCGCAATAAACATGGGTGTGCATATATTGCTTGGATGGCGTTTATGGTTTCTTTGGGGTATATTCCCAGTAGCGGAATGGCTGGGTCAAATGGTATTTCTACTTGCAACTTTTTGAGAGAGCGCTATACTGTCTTCCATAGTGGTTGCACCATTTTACACTCCCATCAACAGTGAGTAAGGGTTCCAGTTTCTCCATGACCTCACCAGCATTTGTTGTTTGCTGTTCTGTTAAATTTTGTTATTCTTACTGGGGTGAGATGATACCTCATAGTTGTTTTGATTTGCATCTCTCTTAGACCTAGGGATTTTGAACATTTATTCATATTTTTGCTTGCCATCTGAATGTCTACTTTGGGTGAATTGTCTGTTCCTGTGCCCATTTTTCAACTGGATTGTTTGTTGTAGTGGTCTATCTATACTTCTGTGTGCTGGGCACTATACTTTATCTATAAGCTCTATTTTTTTTTCCAGATGAAAGAAACAGATGAGTGAATGTTAGCCAGTGACCCACAAAAGAATATTCTTGGTGCTTATATAGCTTGGGAATAAGAAGCTGCACTGCATTCCTGAAGATATACAGTTCAAATCTGCCAGCTGCTCCATGGGAGAAGGATATCTCCTCCACTTAGTTTTCTGCCTCTGAACACCCAACAGAGAGTCAGCTATGGGTCGTTTCTGACTCGATGGTAAACAACTACAACTCCATAAAGACTGTGAATCCACAATCAACACACTTGGCACCAGCAGTCATGAAATCAAAAGATGTATTGCACTGAGAAAGTCTCTCCAAAGTACTGAAGGGAATGATGTCAGTTTGAAGATTAAAGTATGCCTGATTTAAGTCATGTTATTTTATAATCATTTGCTATACATCTGAGAGCTGGACAGAAGAAAAATGATGCTGTTGAGCTGTGGTGTTGAAGAAGAGTGCTGAATATCCCAGGGCCTGTCAAAAGAACAAATAGATAAATCTTGGAGAAGGTGCAGTCAGAGTGCTTCTTAGAGACAAGGATAGCGAAGCTTCATCTCATATTTTGAGCATATTGATAAGAGGGATTGTTCTTTAAAAAGGTAGAGGATCAGTGAAAGAGAGGAAGACTCTCAATGAGGTGGACTGACACAGTGATTACAAGAACGGGCTCAAGTATTTGGAAGCAGGAGTGGCATCCACTTCCTAAACAACATGCCTCTGGAAACTCTATGATCTTTGAGAAATGATGATAGTTGTAGAGGGGCTTCAGGACCTTTGTTCATAGGGTCGCTATGAGTCGTGCTCGACTTGACAGTAATCAACAACAACATGTTAGAGGTGATGAGGACAGCACAGGATAGAAGAGGGTGCAGATCTGTTCATGGGGTCGCTACAAATCATACTTGACTCAATGGAACATAGAAATACCACCTCATTAGGGAAAAAAGGGAAGACCCTCAATGAGATGAACTGACAGAAGGACTGCAACAATGGGCCTGAGCATGGTAGAGACTGTGACAATGGCACAAGATAGCGAAAGGTTTCACTCTGTTATTCAGAGGGTTACTATGAGTCCTTGCTGACTTGACAGCATGTAACAACAATATACTTTGGAGAGGAGCTCATTACTTCTGAGCCTTACAACAACTTTCCAAGGTTGTGAGTGGGTCTTCTTTATCTATGAATAATGGTCTCTTAGGGGCCGAGCAGTTTGTCTGACTTTACCTATTTGGAAAAATCTGAGCCAGGATTCAATTTCAACTGTCTGGTTCAATTAACTGTTGGTCATTCCTTTGAGTTTCTTTATTTCTCCTAATAACCTTTAAACTGTAAAGCAATTGGCAAAAATTATGTGTGATATATATAACAATAACCAAAAGGGAATGCTAGTTGTTAAGGCTGCTTAATGTATATTCAAATATTTTATGAAATTTAGTTTATTAATTTGGAGGTTTCAGGTCATGATTTCATGGAACATCCTAGTTAACTAGCCTAATAATGGGTCTTATGCTTCTGTTTCATCTCCTAGGTTGCTGCATAATGTCTGGGGTCTTAAAAGCTGGAAAGATCATCCAAATATAATAATTCACCTGCAGCAACAGAAGAGGAAAGAGAGTGAGGAAAAGGAGGAAGAAATGGTTTCCTTTGCCATGAAACCAGAAAAACCCATGCAAAGCTATTATTACTATTTTGATCAAGTATTCTACAGAAGAAAGGTAAGATAATACAGAAGAAAACATAAAATTCTCCCAGAATCCAGAATTTCTAGAACCTTGAAAGAGGGGTAAAACCCCCAAAACTACTGCTCTAAGATAATCATTAAACCTTAAACCAAAAATTAGCCCTTGAAGTCTTCTTAAAACCTTGAACAATGCCTCTCTTGAGTATAATACTCCAAGATCGATTTATATAGGATCAAATTGACCAAAGAAACTTACAGGATTAATTAGAAAACTTAGAGGACAGTGAGTTTATGTTAAAGGGGAGAGAACAATTCCAAAAAGAAGGGGCGTATGCTTTTTCAATATGAAGAGTGTACTAAATGTTACTGAATTGTACATGCAGAAACTTTAAACCAGTATATGATTTTGCTGTGTACATTCTCAAAAAAGAAAACAAAAATACAAAATTTTTCACAATGAAGAAGGAAAATTATAAAGCATAATGTGCTTTGAAAGATCTCAAATGACTGCTCCCTGCGAATTGATAGATTAGGTCAACTTCAAGGGGTCTAAGGTCCCTGGATGATGAGAGCTCTTTGCAATCAACTCCTAACTTACAGGTTGGAGATTTGCACATTCATGTTTCTTACAGCATTATTTATAATAGCTGTGAAGTGGAAACAACCAGAGCGCCCATCAGTGGATGAATAAAGAAACGATGACATATTCACACAATGGCATCAGATGCAAACTTAAAGAATTGGTGAAACACTGCATAACATGGATAAATCTAGAGGAAATTATATTAGGTTATATAAATCAGGCATGAAGGACAATTATAGTGTAAGACCACTGTTCTAAAAACCTAGATGGAATCATTTTTGGATGGTTGCCAGAAATGGGAATGCAGGGAGAGGAGGAGAGTGAATAATTAATAAATAGCTAAGTGTGGTGAAGGGAAAGGCAATATATAAGGATTTGATCAGACATTATACTTAATTGCATTACATTAGTACATTGCTATTAATGTTATAAAGCCAAAATATATAGGAAAGATTAAATGAAAAACTAACACGATTTGTAAACCTTCACTGAACCACCCCGTGCCACAGAGGTGCTCTGGTGGCACTGTCTGTAGAGAGCTATGTTGCTGGCTGGGAGGCCGCGCCTCTCTGGCAGTTCAAATCCACCAGCTGCTCTGTGGGAGAAAGATGAGCAGTCTCCTCCCATGTGATTTACAGCCTCTGAAAACTTGCGGGAAGGTCGGCTACGAATCAGTTTTGACTCAGCAATAAGGACTTTGAATCTTTGACTGTGAGCCATGAGAAAGGTCTGTCATCTGCTTCTATAAACTTGACAGACAAGAATATCCTGTGCAACTCAGTTTTACTTTACAATACATAGGGTCACTATGAGTCAGAGTTGACTCATCATAAGTAGTTTTATTCTGTTTTCAGGACATCCATATCAGAGGAAGATCTGAGAGAAGCAAACCAACCAACACCTTTGATTTAGGAATTGGGTGTATTCCTAGGCAGTAAGAGCAGAAGCAGCTGTAACTCCTTTTCATTTGCCACAACCCAGGTCCCTGGCTTTACCTCCTAATCCACAGTGCATAAGCGGGTTTAAATAGTGAAGCTACTTCCCTCACACACGCCAATGCTGCTGAGGCAGAGGGAGGCATGTTCTTACCAGCCCGTCATATTGAAATCCCTGTAGAGCATCTTCTTTCCAAGTTCCTTTCTCTGCACTCTCCTTGGAAACTCCAAATGTGTGAACTCATTTCCCAGCAAGTGAGGCTGCATGAATGCCTAATATAAAAAGGGGACAAAAGAAGAAAAAAAAAGCACACATATTTAGAGGAGGGGAAAAAATAAGACTCGAGGTTGTTTTGCAAATCAAGAAAGTCTGTACTTAAAAAAAAACACACACAAGAAGAAGAACATAATTCCGTATTTCAAGTAAACAGATTTGTGATGAGAAAGGCCTGGTGACTGACTTTGGAAAATCAGTCAATGAAAACACTCTACACTCCAGGAGATCATCTTTCGGCTAAATGGACAGGTCTGGACAGTGAAGAAGGGAGCTCTGCTGGCTCAGTGGGTGAGAAGTTGAGCTGTCAACTCAAAGGCACTTGGTTCAAATCCATGAGCTGCTCTGAGGGAGAAAAATGGGCCCTCTTCTATGCAATTAACAGCCTCTGAAAACTCGTTGGAGGGTCAGCTATGTGTAGGTTCCAACTCAAGGGAGCACAACAACAACAACAACAACAACAACAACAACAAACAATAACATACTGTGAAGAATAATATGCCAGATGAACAGACATCTCAGAACACTCAAAAGTATCAGACCAAAAGGGAAGTAGTTATCCAAAACCAAAGTTCAAACAGCTGGAAGGGGCTGAAAAGAGCAGTGAATGGGAATAGGAAGCCCATAGAGGAAGTGGTGAGAGCATGGCTACAGTGAGACTGTAATGAAACACAATGTCTATGAACAGGAAACAATCTGCCCTGTAAACTGCCACCCAGATCACACTAAAATGTCCAAGAAAGAACACTGTATGAGTGAAAACAGCCCGATCTGCAGCCAGTCACAGGATGGCACAGGGTCAGGAAGTGTTTCGTTCTGTTACGCACAGAATCATCCCAAGTTGGGGACTAACTTGACAGGGTTAACCACCACCACCACCACCACCACCACCACCACCACAATAATAGATTAAAAAAAAAAATCTAAAGAGTGATAAAATCTCAACAAATACAAACCACAAACTTAATTTCTTTATAAAGGAATCATAACCTTAACTTATAAAAGCATGTACTGTTTTCATTGGATATAATTGTAACTGAAGAGATGTAATCAAGGACCTAAGAAAAAGGGACAGAGCTTTACAAACCCAAAGTGGTTTCACTTTTCTGAACGGCATGTTAATGAGATACAGGCTAAAATGGCTTAGACAGACTCTCTTGCCAGCTCTCTTCCCCTTGGGCTCATGCCCCTCTACCAGGGTCTTCCTTCTTGAGTCTGCATGTGAGGCTCCACATAAGCATGGTGGCCTGGGAGGGTGGGCTGGGAGGAGAAACACCAGGCAGGAACTTTCTGTTGGACTCCCTCCATTTTGCTCTGCAGTAATTTGATCATGTAATTGGAAGACTATTCCAGAGCAGATGGCTTCTCCCCCTCCCCCAAATCTCTGTTCACACTACAAAAATCTTGAGCAAACAGCCACTTAGGGAATTGCTCTGAAACAACAAACAGTCTCATTGTCACAGTCTAAATTCAAATCCAGCTATCCAAGAGATGAAATGCTCACACATGAACTTCCCTGCTTGGGGACCACAGCAAACCTGCACTATAGTTTCAACATCAAGCTCTACGCCATCCCTGCTTCTTAGCAGCCTGGACCGGATGGAGTCTCTCTCTCTCCTCTTTTTTTTTTAATGGGGAAAAGAGTGGGCAGAACAAATTGCAGCCTGGCACGGCAGGAAAGCCCAGGGATCCCAGCCATGGGACAGATGGCCATGTCCTCAGTTTACTGGAAAATGGGCATCTCTCCCCGTCTTCTACCCAGGCCCCAGTGCAGACAGACCTCCCACTCACTTTTGTGGAGTTTGGAGGTGGTCGCTGGGTATTAGTCACTGGAAGCTAAGAGTATTAGGAGCCAAGAGACGCAAAATGAATTGTCGCCAGGCTGGTCAGACTCAGCCAGCTATGAAGCTGTAAGGCAATTTATAGAGTAGTCGTGGGAATAGGAGAGGACTGAGAGTGAAAAAGAGCCTTACTGTCTACTGTACAGTGCCACTGAGTCAATCCCAACTCATGACGACTTCACATACATCCCTACATAACTGTGCTCCACAGCATGCTTTTAAAAACTGTGTTAAAAGTATAGGGAGCAAAATACTCGCCACTTTGCAAAGGAAGAGACACTGAGAGGTATGTGAGTATAAGGACAAAGTCAGTAAACATAAGAACACACCCATGTTACAACAGCAGTGATAGCTAGTAATGACAATTTGTGAGTAGATACAGAGTAAATATGTATGCTGACTAAGTGAGGGAGGTCTTCAGGAGTATTCCCAAATAAATGTATATAGTTGTTGTGGATATTTAAAAAATACATATTTGCCCAGGCTGTCTATGTACTCATATACACAGCAGATTATACAGAGGCACTGTTATAGTTACTATTTAGACATTAGGGCTGAACAACTGACCATGAAAAGTAAGGAACACAGTCTCAGGAAATCTAGGCCAATTGGAAAAACGTAATTCCTAAAAATACATATACAAGTATGGTGGTGGATATTTCTACATATATACTAGTCTGGTGAATAGATCTGAGGTCTTAAAAGTTTGTGAGCAGCCTTATTTCAGAGGCAACTAACTACTGTTTTCTTCCTGCTGAAGCACGAAACAGTGAAGAACAAGGAAAACTCAAGGGTACATAGTCAAAAGGACTAATGTGCAGCCCGTATGAAGCACAGCTTCCTTTAACCTGAAACTAGAAGAATGAGATGGCTCTGGCTACCAATGCTGACCACTCTCACTTGAACTGAAAGCCTTGATTGGAATAGGTAAGAAAAAAACCAAAATAAAATAAACAAATAAGCACAACAGATTAGAGAGTAGAGGAGCCCAAGACTGTTGCCCCAGAAAGCCCAATTTGAAACAAAAGACATTCCCAGAGGCCACCTTCCAGCCAAAAATCAGACAATTCTGTAACATAAACCATGGGATAATGTGTTCTTCAGAACAATCAATTACATAAGACCAACACGGTGACATTTCCAAAAAGCAAAGAGCACAAGGCAGAGAGAGAAAGCAGATAAATGGAAAGGGGGAACCCAGGAGGAACTAGAGAGAGCGCTGGCACATTGCAGGGACTGCAATTAATGCTGTGGAGTAAGGTGTGTGAAATATTGATGGGGAATATTAATTTATCATGTAAACTTTTACCAAAAGCACAATAAGATGGTAAATAAAAATATTTGCCATTTCAGCACTCTTCACATTTATGTTGTTGTTATTTGCCATCAGGTTGGAACCAACTCATAGCTGACCCTCCAGAGGGTTTTCAGAGGCCATATATTGCAGGGGAGGAGACTACCCATTGTTCTGGGGGCAGCTTGTTTATTCAAACTGCGTGCCTTTGAGATTGCAATGCAGCTTTTTACCACTAGGTCACCAGAACTCTCATATGTATAGGTCAGTGACAAAATTATGTTCACTGTGTTGTTCAACTATAACCCTGGATAAGGTTATTTGGTGTTTCTTTCTTTTTTTTTTAACTTTGAAAGGTAAAAATATGGAATGCTTCATCAATTTGTGTGCCATCCTGGTTCAGAAGCCATGTTTATCTTCTCTCTGTACCATTCCAATTTTAGTATA